TTTTTTTTTTTTCTTTTTATTTTTTGTTTGATGTGAAACTCCTGGTGAGCGGAGAGATTTGGGGAGATAAAATTTTTGAGGTGGAGAGCAAACCACGCCAGCAAACGCTGGGCGCTGAGAACTGGATTAGTCTAAAAAGGGAGACTGTGAATCCAGCACGGGCAAAGGGAGGAAACAGAAGAAAAGGTTTCTAATGCACTGTAGAAGTTGCTTTTTTATACATATATATATATATATATATATATATATATATATATCAATCGAAGATGAAAATCAAAGCCAAAGGGGACTTCATGTCTTTGAATTGAAGGCTGTGACTTTGCTGTTATTACAAAAACAGTGTTTTGACATCCCGGTGTAGTAGTGGTGCAACGCAAACCTTATTTTGGAGCTGGATATGTACCTGAGGTTACCACTGATGTAAATATATCTTCCTGGTTTTATTACTAAAAGAGTGAACCTTGAGAACTCGCTAGTAATTTTTCTTTTCTTTTTAAGCTAATGGATGAAATCCCACCTCATCTGTCCCAAGCCTGTCCTCTTTGTTTGTTTTCACCTATTCATCCTGATGCAAAATTAATTTGAAAGCAAAAGGGTGAAGAAAGCTGATCTCAGGTATAAGCCAGGACGTGTCTGTCATGGCTCATACCCAGTGCAATGATTCAGTTTCTAATGGGCTGCTAACGTTTGAGGATTTTAGGAGACATTGGGAAAGAAGCCCTGTGTTCACCTGATCCTTCTTCATACTTGCTGCCTGCTTAGAAAGGGCTTGTTGTGTGTCTGAGTCTTTGGTGTGAGGTGATGAATACTGCGTCTAACGAGGTGACAAAACACATATTGGCTTGTAAGGAGGCACCTGACGTGTCGCTCCAATTAGGAGGTTTAATTATGATTTTATTATTTTATTCAAAGGCCTTATTTCAAGTGGTGTTCAGAGTGGGCTGTGTATTCAGTTTTCTTGCAGACATCTCCCTTGATGAAGGTGCTGCATGATACGGGTCTTGGGCATCTACAGTAGTTGCCAATTGACCCAAATCTTATTGTGCTTTCTGTTGCCCGAAATTGCCAGGCAGCTTGGGGCAGGTTTGTTGGGAACTGCACATCCAGCACGAGGAGGAAGCAGCTGGCTGGAGGCCTGACATCAGAAATTGCTGCAGATAGACACGTGTTCAGCTGAAATCGCGTGAAATCGTCTGCCTCTCTGCAGTGCTGCGTGGGTGCAGCGGAAACCGTGGGGAGTCCGGAGCGCTCGCGCCCGGAGCGGAACTGCACCCACTTCCTCCGTGTTCCTGTGCGCAGGAAGCTTCTGGTTTTACTTTCTTCTTGATACCAGTTGCTGCTGCTGTTTCTTATTTCCTCCAGCGACTGCCACTAGAAATAAGGGAGAGACCGCCTTTAATTTCTCTTCATGCAGATTGATGGTGCCAACGAGTTGAATGTAATTGTGACTRATTACCACCTAACCCCCAAAACAGATTTGTTCAGTTCGTAACTTCTTCAGCTTGTTTTTGGAGTTGTGTTTCAGTTCTAATTGAAAAGTCCCCTTCGTGTCTTTTAATGAGTTATAATTGTGTGTATTTAACCTCTTTCAGGTGCAGAAGAAAACTGCCTTATCCGGAGCAAAGATGCAGAGCACTTCGAATTACCTCTGGCTCTTATCTGACATCCTAGGCCAGGGAGCGACGGCCAATGTTTTTCGTGGGCGACACAAGGTTTGTGAGGAATTGCTSGTCTGGGCAATGTGTAAAACTGAAACGTTTTCAGATGGGAGTAGTGGCGTGGAACCAGGAAAAACTGTTCAAGACCTGGGCCTACGGCGGATGTGTTTTTAATGTTTTAATGATGTTCAGTTATAAAACTGAATGGTAGTTTTTAATTGTTGATGTATTCATCCATTGAATTAGACTGCTATACCGTTATTTCGTTTTGTTTKTAATTTGTATTATTAGCCTTAAAGTAAGGCTAATAACTAAAGTAAGGCTGATAACTAAAGTTATTTCTTCACTCTTTCATTTTTCTGGAAGAAAGTATTCCTTGGTTCAGAATCTTAGCCTTTTTTTTTATTGCATGACATGTTATTTTAGTCATTGTAAAATTACCTGCTCTTGTTATCTTCCCAGTCCTATTTAAAACAAGTTTTCTGTGATTTTTATAACAACGTTTCATTTATGCCACAAGACCATATCTAACAAAATGGCTGTCAACCTGTGTATAAATATTACTTAAGTCGGTTCTTAAATAAAAAACTTAAATCCACAGAATCTTAAGCTTTTTTCCAACTTGAGTTTCGCGTCTGCTAATCTCCTTACTTGTAGTCTACCTTAAGCTAGACTAATACATACGTGTGTGTGTGTGTGTGTATATATATATATATTTATTTATTTATTTTTATTAGCATGTTGATTTTTAGCTTTGCACAAAATACTGTTCTGTGCAGTTCCCAATCCAGTCACGCTGGTACACACGTCTCGAAACGCTCCGGTTCTGGTTACATGTGCTTTTGCAGTCTCAGGCTTCTGTTTTATTAACAACTTGATTTTATTTTTTCCAAACAGAAAACCGGGGATTTATATGCTGTCAAAGTATTCAACAGCATAAGCTTTCTCCGTCCTGTGGATGTTCAGATGCGAGAGTTCGAAGTGCTGAAGAAACTGAATCATAAAAATATTGTCAAGTTGTTTGCTATTGAAGAAGAGGTAATGATGTGGTCTGATGTATATGGCAGCAACCAAAATAACTGTTCTTTTTGCTTATAGCCTCAGTTATACAGGATAAAGTATGTTTTTACATTTAATTTTGCATTTTTTATAAATGACTTTCCTTGATTTTAAAATTATTTTTATATATAACTGTGTAACATGAACTGCCAAGATAAATAGTGAATGAGCATAGTTCAAGCACAATAAACTTGTGAAAACTAGAGATATTTTGGTACTCCTGACAATTTTGTGACTTTGCTTTGTAACCAAGTGAAACAAGGGCCTAATACATGTAGAGTTGTATCTAGCTATGAATTACAATAGTAGTGCTCAAACTGAGACGGATCAGTTGCAATCAAGAGATGCAGAGCTGGTAAAGTAGGGGAAGAGAGTGAGAACTGCTGTTCTCTACTCTTTCCTGTTGCACTTGTCTGTTTTTCTGCTGTTATTTCTCTCTAAGGACCTAGACTTGGAAGCTTTCTAATTTTTTTCCCTGTTCAAAATCAGAATAAATGTAAAGAGGTGCAAACCAAGTTTTACGTTGTTCCAAGTTCCAGTCTGTTAGGTGTCTTTAAATCTAACTGTTGATTTTTGTTGTTGTTGTTGTTGTTGTTGAAAATAAGGTTTTGTGGCTGTAAGTGATTTCTGTTACCATTTTTGTGTTATTCATAAACTTCTTTTGTTGTCATTTTCCAGACAACGACTAGACATAAAGTACTAGTTATGGAATTTTGTCCATGTGGGAGTTTATACACTGTTTTAGAGGAGCCATCTAATGCCTTTGGTTTGCCAGAGTCTGAGTTCTTGATTGTTCTGAGAGATGTGGGTATGTATTTTAGTCCAATGAATTGATTAAAACAAACTCATGCTTTAGTTGTGTTTATCATAAAATAACAAGAGACAAGGAATTTGAATGACAACTAACTTGACAAATGAATATGCTCATAGAGAGTCACTTCCTTTTTTGCAGTTGGTGTAAGTAGCTGCACTGTGAAGCTATTTTTGCTTAAAACGCCGTTAAATTCTGTTTTTCTGTTTCAAGATTGTYATGCATTGGACTGTTCTCTTGTGATAGCTCATCTCAGAATTGGAGAAATAGTGAGGTTTACTCATGTCTGCCTGCTTTAAAAAAAAAATCAATTACTTTATGGCAAAGATGTTTCTGAGAGCAAAAATTACTGTTACTTCGCTCCTGGAAGGAGGAAAGGGCAAAAGATGCTTAGCTTGTTCTCTATTTTTCTGATTACTCTGCTCTCCTTTCCCATCCTCCTTTCCCTGTGAGGAAACAACGTGCGTGTTCTTACTCGTGTTGCAGTTCTGTGCTTGTGCAGTCGGTGTCCGTGTGCGTACGGGTAATTGTGGCCTGCTCTCTTGGAAGTGGCTGGGATGAACCATCTCCGGGAGAACGGCATCGTGCACCGAGACATCAAGCCGGGCAATATCATGCGGGTCATAGGTGAAGACGGGCAGTCCGTTTACAAGCTCACAGACTTCGGGGCTGCGAGAGAGCTCGAAGATGATGAGCAGTTTGTTTCTCTCTATGGCACAGAGGAGTATTTAGTAAGTCCACTGATTTCACTCTCTGGTGCAGTAGTGTTTGAGGCCTGGGGCCCTCTGTGATTAAAGCTGAATAGCTGAAGTTCACACTGTTGGGAATTAATACTCACATCTTCATGTTGTAGTTGTTTTTATAATTTTCCACTTTTTTCACCTTGGGTGAGGTAAAGAAGCATCAATTCAAGCATTTTAGACTAAATTTTCTTCCGCCCCCTACCTAAAAATGCTTTCTCATACTAAGTATCTTAGCTGGTGCTGTCCCCTGCTATGGACCTTTTGTAAATGTAGTATTTGTTGTTTCAAATCCATCWGGAGGATTGCTGTTTTTCTCATCTTTAATGTTTTATTCCAGCAGTCTACTTTTAGGATTTTATTTTATTTTTTATGTTTTTTTAAATTTGCTTGGGAAACCTTAATAAGGGTGACCATCATATACCTAGTGAGCACTTCTGTGATGCTCTGTTGGAACAGCTTGTGTAAACTTAAGCAAATTCTGCAATGCAAACTAACTTCACTCTTTGATCAAAGAAGTAAATGTTTGGAATGGCGAGCTGGGTTGGGGTTTTGTTCTTTCTACTGCTTACAAAGCAATTCTGAGTTCTTCTTATCTGATTTTTTTTTTCTCTTCAGCATCCAGATATGTATGAGCGAGCAGTTTTGAGGAAGGAGCATCARAAAAAATACGGAGCGACCGTTGATCTGTGGAGCATTGGGGTGACCTTCTACCATGCTGCGACGGGGAGTTTGCCCTTCCGGCCCTTCGAAGGACCTCGTCGGAACAAGGAAGTGATGTAGGTAATTTAGGAGGAGAACTTTACCTATTCGTAAATAAAGACAAGTTCATGAAASTCTTTGATCAAGCATACTTCCAATGTGCACCTGGTGAACAGTATAATAATAGTGGAAATATTTAAAGTCTAGCATTCTTTAATGTTCTTCTTTAGCAAATGTAGTTTGTGTGGAACACTAAGAGGTGTAAGTCAGAGCTTGCTGAAAATAGTGATGTTTTTGTACACATCTTTTCTTCACCGTTGCACCAGCCTGGTTTCTTGCCCCAGGGCGTTTATAACTTGGATATTCAGACTAAGTTGCTATATTCTGAAATGTGTTCTTTTAGAGCTGCACATTTTTGTTGTCCTAAGAATGCCTGTCCTTTCAGAAAGTCTTGTGATACATGTACCACCCATGAAATTGATGTTTTATTAGTAGCAGAATCGTGTTTTTTGCTTGATGTTTCATATAACAGCTTGTGCACATAACTGTGCTAGAAGTTAAGAGATACAGCCTGAATGTGAAGCAGAAGTTGTGTCTCCTCATAATATAGTTCTGTTCTTCTGCATTGTATTTARAGCTAAAGCTAATTAGATACTATTTATCTAATTAAAGGTCTTTAGGAACTCGTGGTTTGCCMGTAGCCCCCTTGTGCTGGTAGTCCCTGTCAGAGCTGCCTCCCRTTTCCTTGGTTTAGGGAACTGCCCACCCTGAGGTTCTCCCACAGAGGTTCTTGTTACTGTCCTACATGCTTGTATATAAGCAAAGATCTGGATTATAAAAGCTTTGTATGGAACTCATCCTCCGAAAAGAACAACCGACTTGAATTTTCTGTTGGAAAAAAAAAGCTCTTGAWTCATTTAATGAGAATTCTGAGAAATACTAACTTCTTAGGTATAAAGTTAGGCAAATGCCAAATTTTATCCGAGTTAAAACAGCTTTTTAAAGCCTGGCTGATATTCATTCCTTCCATTGCTCTTCCTTCTCTTCCCCAAGTGACTTTTTAGTAGCTAAATGTCCTCTCTTGTGACAGAACTTGTTAGGAATCAGTCAGGTTAAATGCCTAAATTGAACAGCTTTGGAAATCTAACTTTAATTAGCACTGGTGAAAAATAGTTCAGGTTCTCACTAAGTCTCCTAAATTTCTGCCACATCTGAGATGGACAAAATTGTCTCCCTAGCACAGCCTGTATTGCTTCCTTTTTATTAAGATTGTTCTGTTAGCATCACTCCTGACTGTCAGTTTGTAAATGAAACTCCCGAATTCTTGTATCGCCCCTTAACAAGAGCATAGCCTAATGTTCCCTGTCAGTTCAGAATCTATACTTACATTAYTAATTCCCTTTTTAAGATTAGTTTTCTAGACCTCTACTATCTCTTTTGGAGGTAATAATTGAATACTTTAAATATATTAAAAAAATGTAAATATATATATTTAATTTATCACAGGTATAAAATAATCACCGGAAAGCCTTCCGGAGCTATTTCTGGAATTCAGAAAGCAGAAAATGGACCAATTGAGTGGAGCTGGGAGATGCCTGTTTCTTGTAGTCTGTCGAAGTAAGTTTGAGCCGCTCATGTAAGCTTTTCAGTGCTGCTTAGTTGGGCTTTTTGTGTTATTTCCTCAGTGTCAGGTCTTTGGAACAGAGGTCTGGCTGCTGAGGTTGCTTTCTTTGAGCTTTTCAATAGGTCTATTGAGCATATCCGTGCATTACCGGTTTCTTTTTTTCCCAAACTATCCATATAGTTTCATGGCAGCTGATTTGCAAATAAGCACCTAAGAATGTGAAGGGGTATGAGTAGGAGAAAAACACCAAAGAAAATATACTTGGTAGTCAGGCCTAAAAAGGAAATAGATAAAGTGTGAAAGTTCTGTCATTCAGCAGAAGGGAGAAAAAGAGTTCTGGAGTGGTCGAGTTGTATGAGATAGACTTGCATTCATGACAGAGGTCCAGTGAAATACTGCACTTTGTCATCTCCCTTCCTGGTGTGCTCTAGGGGTCTACAACTACTGCTCACGCCTGTCCTTGCAAATATTCTTGAAGCAGACCAGGAAAAGTGCTGGGGATTTGACCAGTTCTTTGCCGAGACAAGTGACATCCTGCACCGAATAATAATCCACATTTTTTCACTACAGCAGATGACCTTGCACAAAATTTATATTCACAGCTATAATACGTAAGTGTTCTCTGCTCTGTATAGTTTCATTTCCTTAACGCTTATTCAGTCAAATAGTAGTGTGGCCCCAAATCACCAATGTAACAAATGCACCAGCCTTTCTCTGACAGTTTATCTAAGTGTAAGTGGCAATGTTGATAATAAAGTATTTCTAGTAAAAATAAAGTAACCAAAGGCTGAATCAACTCAGTCAGTGGCAGAACACACTAATCTTTTATGTGTTAYGCTGAGTTTTACTAACCCAGGCTCATACAGGCTGCTATTAAATCCTCTTATTTACAAGGTAGCTTTTSAGAGTGTGTGTTCGAAACCCTTTTATCTTGCCATCTGAGATAGGAAACATGAGCATCGCCTGTGCTGGACGTAAACGTCAGCGTTTCCAACAGGAGTTGGAAGGTGTTTAGGACCCTGAGCTGCGTAGATTTGTTTTATGACCATCAAGCCCTGATGTTAAAGGGAAGCTTGCTTCCTTTTTCTCCTTTGTCGTTGCCTGTTCCTACCAACCTTCAGACTTCCAAATCAAAGCAAGTTTGTTTACAAAGACATTTACCAAAAAAAAAAAAAAAAAAAAAAAGCACTTTGGTGGAAAATCTGAGGTTTAGAGGGGTATTTGATGTTTTGCAGGAAATGACCTTTAATTTTTTAACAGGATAAGCTGTAGGCAACACTGGTTTTCTGTTTGTTCTCTCTACAAAGCAAATGCTCTTYATCTATTAGCAGCTCTTAATTCAGCAATAAKTTTTTTTTTTTTAAGTAATATAAAAGCTGTGGATTGTTAAGCTGTTGTGTTCTGGTGTATCTCTTATATATTGTTTTTCTCGTAGAGCTGCTATATTTCACGAACTGGTCTACAAACAAACCAAAATACCATCTCAGAATCAAGAACTGATCTACGAAGGTCGGCGTTTGATGCTGGAGCCTGGCAGGCTGGCCCAGCTCTTCCCCCGAACTACAGAGGAGAATCCTATCATTGTGGTGAGCAGGGAGGCTTTGAACATTGTTGGGCTGATCTTTGAAGAAGGTAGGTGGAAGTCATTTCCTCCGGCTTAGAGCTTCCCTTTGAAAGTAGTTCTGGTTGTTTAGTTACCCTTACCTTTGGTTTTATGTCAGTTTATTTTTTTGAAAACACTGAGGATTCCAGCTGTTGAACATGCCTAGTCTTTCTGTTCCCAGGCGCTAAYGACTTGCCCTTGCTTAAAGAAGATAGTGCCATGGCACAGAAAAGAAGTAGGTTTTTGTGTTTGAGAGGTGCCGAGGAGGCCCGCGGTGTCCTGTCGGGGGTGCCGGGAGGCGCGTGGGGTACGTGAGGATCCATGGTGCTTTTGCATCCTGCAGGAGCCGGCATGGGATTACAGGAGATCCAATTGACACCGTATGCTTAGGGTCTTTAAAGGTGTTCAGTGAGGTCCTCTTGCTCCCAGGAGTCTTAGTGGCACTGAATGGCYATGGCCTGGCATGAATGGCATGTCATTTCCTCCATAAGAGGAAAGAGTTTGTCCCGTGAGGGCAAGCACGGGGCTGAAGGATAGAAGTGAATTCGTGGAGCTGAGATTCACTGGTTCCTAGGAARTTCTGAGCCGCAGGTTGTGGGAAGCTGGGAGAATCCGCCAAGGAATTCCCTTCTGCGCTGTTCTTTGCCTGCTTCCCTGAGCCCTGGCTGCTGGCAGCTGCAGAGGATGCTGAGCTGGGTGGCCAGCAAGGCTTTCTCCTAGRGAKATGTGGAAGATGTAKATRGARGCAGTGGSACCAAATGGGAGGCTCTTTACAGTCCTGGCTTCAGACTCGGCTGTGGGTTGAGCGTTTTAATAAGTATTTCTGATATATATTACTGTTTATATAATACATTTAGTATGAATGAACAAATATACTAGTGTATCTGTTACTGTATTAAGACTAAGTCTTTTGCTGAAAATAAGAAAATACAGATATATTTATTTTGTATTTCAGTCTTGCTTCCTAAAGTACACCAACGTTATGATCTGGATGGGGATGCCAGTATGGCTAAAGTGAGTTGTTAGTGTTTTATTTTATATAGCCATCTCGGATAATAATACTGAAATGCAATCTACGTGATTTTTGAGATGAACAGTGCTAATAAAACTATTTTTAATATGGTAGTTAGGGGTTCTGATTGGCAGAGARGTATGTATTACTAGTTGTTAACAAGTGTTTTGAAAGCATATTTTGYGAAAACCAGACTTTATTTACAAAATATTTACTTAACTGYTTGAATGTGATATTATTCCTCACCRTGTAAGTCCTCACTTTATTTGACCGTTAAATCAAACACATAAAGAGCTAAGGGCTGTTTTCACAAGTCATAACTTAAAATTTCCTCTGTGAACAAGGAGAGAGTTGTCTGAGTTAATATCTATGTAAATGAACTTGTTTCCAGTGAAATGGGGTGTGTTGTTACTGGTACCACCAGCTTTAGAAGAAAGTTTCGCTTTCCTGCTAAGGGGAGGAGCTTCTCTGCTGTGTGAAAATGAGCGACTTCCCCTTTCATGGGAATTAGTATTTAGACCAGCATTAACTTTGTCCAGGCATGCTTCTGCAAAATCTTGAAACATCACCTACTGAGAAGTCCTTGCAATGGAAAGATTATTTATCTCTCTTGATTTTTTTTTTTAAATCAGTCTTCTGAAGGCCTGATGTTTTGTTACTCTGTAATGCATTGATGTAGGGAAGGGAGTAGCCTCCTGCTTTTTTGGARTCCTAAAATTAGCCAGATTCGCAGCAGATTTGTGTTCCCCTGAGATGGTGAAAYACTTAACATGAGAGAATAACTTTGAGAGAATAACTTTGAGAATTTCTAAGGGGGAAAATTAATGGATGTGTCATTTAGTTGTTGTTATCCTAAAACAACTGCATGTGCATTGCCGGTTGACTTTGTGACAGTCATTTGTAGTCACATATTTTGTTCAGGCAGAGTAGTCTTAAAAGCATGTGTTTTTCTGAAAGCAAGAAGTCTTTCAAATTTTTAAGTAGGAAGCTGTCAGTTGATATTAGTTACCTAAAATGTTATAAATTATAATTTCTAAGTAGTACAGCAAGCCCGTAAGGGGGGAATTAGGTGAGTGGGGAATTAGGAAGAGAGGCCCTAGCCTTAGGATTTAGAAATTTATCATTTTTATGAGTTCTTTTGATGTATGTGTTTAATACCTGAACCACTGAACAAATTTACTTGTGGCTTTCCAGAGAATTAAAGTAAACCCCAAGAGTAAGAGGAGTCATTCGTGTTTATAAAAGACTTATTTTGATCCCTAATATTCCAGCRTAGCTGGAAAAACTCATTTATCACATCGAGCTCTGCCTCCATAATGAGTTTTTAGTTGTCTGCTCAGTAATATTTGGTCCAAGTTATGTGTTTTATATTGCCATCTTCATATTGCTCTTTCTTTTCTTAATCTGTGTTGCTTTGTTGTGATTAATTGACTTTAAAAGATTGTTCAGAGAGTACCAGATTAGAACTAATGATGCTTATTTCCCCCCCCCAGGCAGTAACAGGTATCATATGTTATGCGTGCCGAGTTGCCAGTTCTTTGCTGCTTTACCAGGAACTGATGCGCAAAGGGATGCGGTGGCTCACGTAAGCACTTGGCTGAGCTGCAGCGAGCCTGGGGCGTTGCTGACTGTGTTGCTGCGATTGTGAAATTTGCTCTTTGGCTTTCTTCTGTGGTTAACTTGAATACAGTCCTCAGTAATATACAGGGACAATTTGTATGGCTTGCACGAGGTAGTCTTGTATGACAGTATTGCTAAAGCAACTCTAAATGATAGTAATTTCTACTAGCAGTTGTAACTGTAGATATATTCTTGTATTAGTGATAAGATCGTAGTTAAATACTTTTTATTATATATTAGTCCTTCACTTTTCCAGGGAAATAATCAAGGATGATTACAATGAATTGGTTCATAGAAAGGCAGAGGTTGTCATCAAGCTGGATTTCTGCAGCAGAAGCATTGAGAGAGCTGAGAAAGTGTGAGTAGTAGCACTGAATCCACTGTTTTTGCTTTGTGTTCAGTGACAGCTGTATTTTAAGTTAAGTTTATTTACAGATTTTTTTCCACATGAAATTTAAATTTGAATTGGGATGGATTTGCTAGTGGCAGTGACTTAAACACCAGCTCAAGTAATCAGCTTTCTCAAATTGGGGTGTTAGTTTTGCTCCTTTACTTGGTGAAAGGGAGTAGTTACTGTTGGGTTAGGTATCTGCTTTTTCTCCTTTCCCCTGTGTCACAGCTCACTTGCTGTTGTTGACTTTAGGAGCTATGGAAAAGCCTGACCAAGGAATATAGCAGCTAACACTAAATGTTATAATCTGGAATTCCTGGTTTAAATGACTTACACTGTTTTACAGAGTTTTACTTGCTTTTATTGCGGTCCCTTTCCATCTTTAATGAATGAGGAAGAGCTCTGTAAAATACCCCCTTGGAAAAAAATAGCATTTGACCCACTTTGTGCCTGTCACAGCCCATGCACGTAAGGAGGCCAGAAATAAACTGCACAGCCTGTCCTCCCTCATGCCCATGCTGCGGGGAGCGAGCAGAAGTCCCCTTAGACTTCAGGAGGGATCATTTTCCTGCTTTAGGTGACAGTTTCCAGGTCCAGGGCATCCAGCAGCATCTCATCTACCTCACGAAGCTCCGTAGAGGGAGACGGTAATGCCAGGCCCCGGGGCAGCCCGGGGGTTGCCCTGCTGCAGAGCAGCGCTGCAGAGAAGGACCAGGGAGTCGTGGTGGGCAGCAGGGTGGCCGTGAGGCAGCAGGGTGGCCTCGTGGCCAAGGAGGCCGGGGGGATCCTGCCCCTCTGCTCGGCCCTGCTGAGCCCCTACCTGGAGCATTGGGGACAGTTTTGGGCTCCCCACAGCTCCGGGAGCAGCTCTCGCAAAGGGCCGCTCGGATGAGGAAGGGACTGGAGTCTCTTGGGTGTGAGGAGAAGCCGAGAGAGCTGGGCCTGCCCGGCCTGGAGAAGCTCGGCCTGTCGCGAAGGGACGGGCTCATCAGCCTCTCTGACTGCGGAAGACTTTCCCGGAGCCAGCAAAGGGTGTGTGTCCTCTGGAAAAGCCTTCCATTTCCTAGGCTGTGCCTCACAGCTTGAAAAATCAGAGCTTTTATAGGAAAAAAAAAAAAAAAAAAAGTAAACAGAGTATTCAACTTGAGCCATGAATATATCATTTTGAAAACAGCCAAGCTGTTTTGATGGTGTTAAAAAAATCTGGCTGAGATTCAGCATTAAAAATCCCCCAATTGGTCTGTTTAGCACTTGAATTACAGTCATATGGGAAGTGTCAGTGCACAGGGAGTGCTAGTAGTCCAGGCTGCAAGGTTTTGGTAGCTTTTCCAGTAAGTTTCCAAAGGAAAGCACATCATGGCCCTGGAGTATCAGTTCTGGTGTGAGGTCATTGACTGTTCTAAGCAATCTTTTTTGTAACCTTTTAAAAATTTATTGAGAGATTATTTGCCTGTAGAATAAAAACAAGAGCAGAATGAAGAAATGAGGAATAAATGTTTAAAGCATCTTTTTAAGTCTGAATGTATGAAAAAAAAAAGTGCTTTTTAGCTAAAATGTTTTCTCTGCTATTTATGACCTCTAAGATTGTTTGTCTTTCATAGTTGGTGGATAAGTATTGTAATTCATATAAGGACAGTGGTAGTTATTGTTAATCTTTAGATCCAAATATTATTTGGAGTGTATTCACAGCACTCATTTATTTTTATTATGATCAGATACGAGAATTTAATGCAGATCAACCTGGAAACACCAGAAGTGGATGAAATTTCAGAGATACATACGAAGATAATGCGTGTAAGTATCTTACAAAAGCAGTGCCATTCCCAAAATGTGTTTTTCTAGAGAAAAATCCAAATACAGAGTTACACAGGTTGTAAGGATTTTGAATTGTCATTGTTATTTCTGGACTGCCAGAGGTTGTTAAAATGCCAATGCTGAGGTATGAATATTTTTCTGAAAACAGAGTATATCCTCTTGTTAGCCCAGTGACCTTGAAAGGAAATTCTCTTTTACTACACTACTCYTGTTAAAAAAATGAAAGTGCTGAAGTGTATCTTTCAAGTGGAAGCAGTTTTTTTCATTTACTTGAAGAATACTGAACTACCTCATTAACTTTCTAGAATGGTACATGTACACACAGTTCAGTATGACTTGCTGTAAAATTTGTATCTTATTTTCAGATGAGTAAAGAAAAAATGAATATTTCTGGGGTTTCGAGGGAAAAAAACCCTCAAGTTATCTATTCTAGAAAACAAGGTGTTTTGGGCACTTCTGTCTTGGTTATTTGAAGTGTGAGAGTTAGGAATTATATGAAGAGTCATTGTACAAACTGTTAATACACTGAAAGAACAAGTATAGAAACAAGTAGAGGATATATGAAAGGAAGAAACTTATTGCAGAGGACTTTGAAAGTAAACAAATATTAATTGGGGGGAATGCTGTCTTTAAAGATGATCATTTCTTTAATAATGCCATATTTTATGTGGTCTTGGAGAAGCCTAGGCAGAATTTCTGTACATTGCTGGGCATGTTGCTTTAATTAATACTGGGTAAACAGATGAGTTTCTAGTACTAAGGTACTTGGTGTGTTTTCAGCCTGAAGCTATTTTTCACTTTAGCCAGTGGGTAAGACTGAACTTTGTTGCTCTTGTGTAGCTCACCAGTTCGCAGAGCACAATTGAAACTAGTCTTCAAGATATCAAAAACAAACTTTCTCCTGGTGGTTTACTGGCCGACAGCTGGGCAAATCAGGAGGGCATGCATCCAAAAGACAGAAAGTAAGTAACTAGTTCATTGTTTTAAACTATTTTGAATTTTACATGGAGCTGTAGTTCATAAAACTCATTAAGATGTACTTAAGTTTATATATAAAATGTCATTTTCTTCCTGTTGTCATTCTAGTCCAGAGAGGCTGCAGGCACTGCTATGTTCCATCACAGAAATTTATTATCAGTTCAAAAAAGACAAAGCAGAACGTAGTAAGTAACTTGATTTACTTTCAATATAAAATATGAGGCAGGTCAATATTTGATCTACTAGGCTATTTATGGTAGCAATAGGGAAACAATCAGGAAGATTGGGTGTATCTGTAGTGCTGTCTCAGTGAGTACTATCTTAAAGCCTGGATGAATGAAAAAACATTAGTCTCAGAAATTCAAATAGCAGCATTGGAAGAAAGTAAATTACTGCCCATTACCTGCAAGAACAGGAGGGAAAACACATAGCAAATGAATAAATTTATTGGAGTCTTATATAAATACAAGTAACAGAATTAAATTGTAATATCTGCTTGTCTGTTTTAATTCTAGGACTTCCTTATAATGAAGAACAAATTCACAAGTTTGACAAGTAAGTGTTTTTGAAGTTACTTTTAGAAAGCAATGTTGTGGTGTGCAGGTCCCTCAGGTGCTATTGGCAACAACCTCATCTGTCAGTGACTATTAATTTTAAATTGTGTGCTCTTTAGGACATGGATTTATTTTTAACATTCTTCAAATATTGTAAGTACACAGAGACCTAACATGTTATAATGAGATGCTTTCTGACAGTGAAGTTCATTTGCTGATGTACCTTTTAAATGTAGGTGTTAATACTTGTTCCTTATCTGCATGTATCTGTATTTTAGGAAAAAAAGTGTATTACTGTTTGGGTCATTTTTTATTTGTTTTTCTTGGGGATTAAAAACACAAATAGCAGTTAGGAGACTTTGTAACGTGCAGAAGACCCTGTACCCTCCCTACCAGGTTACTTGATTTTGCCATAGACAATGCTAAAAGGGGTGACTATCAAGCAGAGGAGACATCCTCTTAAGATAAAGCACAGCAAGGGCAAGAAACCTAATTAATTTTAAGGCAGATGTTGATAAACTGAAAGTGACTTGGACACAACTGCCTAAAATAGCAAGGGATTGAACTTAATAGTGTAAGAGAGAATTTCCAGCCTTACGTTCTTAAGGAGATGGTTGGAAAACTGGCCGGCAAAGGGGCACAATCTGTAGCTCGTTTTAAAGCTGCACTCCCTCAGGCAAACTAGGCTTTTAAGACTTTTTTTAACAATCAAAATGTGTCTTTATGTTGATATCCAGAAAACTTGACATAGGCTTCACTTCCATCACTTTGAAAAGCAGTATATTTTATGCTGTGAGTGTCATCTCAGGATTGTTTAGGTACCTTTGAGATCTTAATTCTTTCTGATTTTACTTGACTGGCCCCACAGAGAAACCGCAGTGGTTTGTGTAAGCAACCTGCTGTCTTGCAGTGCTGTAGCCTGAGCTCTGCTCATCTCAAAATGAAGCTTAAGAACTTTGTGCCATTAGCAAGAGAGACAAATCTTCAGAATATTTGCCTCTGAGTGACTGAAGTTCAGAATATTTGCCTCTGGGTAGGCTCGGGAGCAGCTCTCGAGTGGGGTGTTTCTGGCTGCCACCCGTGACGTGGCAAACCAGCCAGCACTCGGTTAGCCAGTAGCTGCCACACAGGACATCGTGAGATAAGGAGCAGGAACAGGGATGTTTTATGTGCCCTGATTTCCCCTCGAGGTGCAGGGCACACCATGGCATGGGGTCCTGCTGCCCACACTGCCAAGCGGCGCCGCGTTCCGGTTTGTTTTCCCATCCTTCCCTTGGTTTTTTGGCTCGTCATGAATTGAAGCTGGCACCCACAAGAGGATTTCTGTTGCACGAGTGTTGCTCACCACAAGGGATCACCTGCGTATGGAGAAGGTTTCCAGTGCCTGCACAAGACAAAATGAAAAATAGTAAAAGTTTCTGTGCTTTCAGTTTAGGTTTCCTTTTTCTTTAATATATTTGTATGGGTAAACATTGAGTGCAAGAAGATATTAGACCAGTTGTTCATATGCAGATAACTGAAACTAGATGCTGTAGATAAAGCCTTTTGTTCTGGCAAGGTCTCTTTTTGGAACATAAGCTGTCACTTCATGCCGTGTGCTGAGTTCTCATGCGTCACAACAACCTGAGTGAAAACTGGCTGGAGGGAGCTTAAATCCATATATTTGTTCTGCACGTTTCAGAAAGCAAATGAGAGGAATGGGCTTCTGCAAACAGTGTAACCACGTTGTTCCTGGTGTCCCTGTGTTGCAGGCAGAAGCTGTACTTGCATGCTACAAAGGCTGTAACTCTGTTCAAAGAGGAATGTGTCGGCAAATGTGAGATATTTCTGGACAAGGCTGAGGACTGGACAAGGCAAGAGACTGATTTTTGTTGTTGTTTAATATCTGGCAGTGTTGACTGCAGCACTTCTAAAATCTAAAATACATTTTATTTTCTCTAGGAAAATGCTTCATGTAAGGAAACAGTTGGTGGCTCTCAGCAACCAGTGTTTTGATATTGAAGAGGAGGTATCCAAATACCAGGATTACATAAATGAGGTAGAGTGCTTCTAAATTAGGTCAAGTATTTGAGGAAATAAAAATCTGTTTTCATATTATTTGCTACCAGTGGTGTTAATATATTGAGTCTTAATTACATGAGTGCAATCCAGTTGAAATATGGGAGTGCTTGGCTGTATTTAGGTTGGCTGTAGTAGATTCCCTGCTGGTGCAAGAGTAGAACAGGAGTCAACCTTATTTTGAATCTGACTTCTTTGGTTTTGTAGGGCTAGCAGTCCCTAAAAAAAATCTCTGCAAGTGGATTTGGACTCACCTAAGAAACATTCTGAGCAACTGCTGAGTGTCTGGGCACCTAGAGGATTATTAATACTTCTGTGAAACAGAAACATTGCAGCAGTATTGAAAGTTGGGGACAGAGGCTTAAGGGTACCTGCTAATGTAATCCTTGAAGCCCTAGATGAAAATATTTTGTAGTGTCTGAACAGTGATTCCAAAAAATAAAACAACAAAAAATTAATTTGAGGACACACAAGAAAATCTTCATGAAATAAAATTACTCTTCTTTGTTAAGGATATATAAATAGAAACAAAAAAAAGTAGATCTCGAGGCTATTAAGGAACAGTGAAAAGCAGGGTTTTTCTTGTTTGTATTTTGTCATTTTTATTTCGTCAGTAACAGCAGATGCCAGTTATTAAGCTCCTGGTATCTACAACCATAGCAGATAGGTCATCCCTCCTTCAGAGAGTTTATTATCAAAGTATAAGGTAATTAAAATGGAATAAATGAGGGGCACTATAGGTCATACCAATACAAAACCTACCATGCTGAGCTGAACTTGCAAGCTGTCAGATCCTTCCCATAGCAATGATGTTATGAAGCATCATGGCAATGGAGAATTTAAGGAATATTTTGAGGTAGACGCCAAGATATATGTAACAACTCACCTTGTAATTTATATTTGCTCTTTATTTTTTGTAGTTACAAGATGCTCTGCCACAAAAGGTGTTTGCAGCTTCTAGTGGGCTGAAACACGCAATCAATCCAGTCTATCCAAGTTCAAACACATTGGTAGAAATGACTCTGGGGTAAGAATTTCTCATTTGGATTAATGTAATATTCTATAATATAGGTGAAATAGGTTTTTTTGTGATAGTCAACTGCTTTGCAAGTGCAGAGCTTAAGTGACTGCTCTGTCACGAGCAGTCAAGAGCAGGCACTTTATATTTATTGCAGGAAAAAAGCCCTTTACATTGAAGTGGTGGAAATGAATAGGGGACAACACTAATATCTCTATGCATCACTTTTGCTGAATAGCCAACCCAGTATCTTCCCCTGCTTTTGTGTGTAAGAACAAGTTGCTGAAAGCTTCATGGTGCTGAGTGGTCGTAGGAGATGACTGTTCCGATAACCTCCCTTTCACGTCTTGTTACTGCAGGATGAAGAAGCTGAAGGAGGAAATAGGAGGGGTGGTTGAAGTGCTGGCTGAGAACAATCACATCTTGGAAAGGCAAGTCCTCATTCTCCTTTCTGACTGATGTTTGGAACAGCCTTAACTTGGTGCATTTTGTAGATCCAGAGAGCCTTTTGAGAGGCAATTGTATAATCTATTTGATGACAGGAAATGTGTTTTTGAACTGCTGATCTAAACGTAACAAGCTTTCTTCTGAACCTTGAAACATTGCTGTGAAATGGGTCTGACACAGCAGTCATGTCATTCTTGTTTAAGGTAACTTCTGTTTAGCTAATGGAAATATCTTCTATCCAGCGAGGTTAATTCTGAATTTGAACTCAGTAGCTCAGCAGTCTGATGGGGTCTTTTAACTCTTCACTTCTAGATACAATTTTTAACAGCTGTGAAATTACACCAGGCTGAATTAATGCAGTTTTGCAGTTTACTTATTTAAACTAAAGAGAGAAAGACTGATATATTTGTCACAATACTGGGAGAGCATTTTCATTATCACATAAAGAATAATTTTTGTTTTGCTATTTTTCTCTTGCTGTTGTGTGAACAGCTGAAATACTTTTCTTTCTAAGGAAGCTATTGCAGATGGAAGCTGTCAGCAGTGGGTCATCTTTCTGATGATGATGATGGTAAAAAATATGATAATGATCTACTAAAAGCTTTGTGGCAAAGTGATCTTAGCATCAAATTAAACTGTCTTATTTATATATTTTTATTATTCCCTGGTATAATAATTAGATAAAAATGTGTGTTGAGATGTGAGTTTTGATGCTTTCATTATTCATTTATTTTCATTTTAGATTTGGTGCTTTGACTATGGACGGTGGCCTGCACGATGTGGACTGCATCTAGCTGTCAAAGGACCTGAAAAAGACTTGTAAATTTTTCAAAGGGGAGAAATACTGTTGAAGCATCTAAAGACAGGGTTTTTTTTCTCTGCAGTTGTACTATTAAAAATGTAAATATGTATACTATGTAAATATAAAAGAAAAATATATATATATATCTTTTTGTCAATGTTAGGAGAGAATTACTTCTGGCAGGGAATTTATGCATTGAAGGCTCTCTGACAAAATCCTAAAGACAAAAGCGGTGTTGATGCAGCTGACATTTGTTTGAATTTTGTCCCTTTTTGAGAATGCAGTGTACTCCTTATGACAACAGAATTGCAATTTTCAGAATTCTGCCAATTATGAATAATCTGTAATCTTTAATCACCACTGTTATTTTGGCCTCAGGTTCAATGACATTGATCATCATTCACAGAATGTAAAGACTGTCTTAAATAAGATTTCGTTAAAAAAAAAAAAAGGAATAGGAACTAAAAGTGCAGCTAAGACAACAAGTGGCAATGTGGAAATGCATTTCTTTTTCTTTCACACCCACACTGTTACTTGTTGATATTTGGTGCCATGTTGTCTGTAATTTCTTGACTAGTCTTAATTACGGAGTTTTGTGCTTCAGGTTGTCAGATCAAGTGTAAAAATTCCTTTTGTGGCATATAACATTTTTGAAATTTTCCTGAAATCTTGTTGCTCACCATAAGAGAGGCAGGATCCTGCAGTTCAGATCAGATCCTACAGCCTTTTAGGAATGCTGTTTGCAGTGGGAGTTTTTCAGTAGTCAGTAAGCCGGAGCGCATCACGTTTCAGTGCTAAGTGAACAGTAGAAAAAACTAACCCAGATCTGGTGTCGAGGGTGAGAAGAGACCCCAGGCACTGCTGACGTGGGGCTCGGATACTGAAGGGGCAGACGGAGCGGGGGAAAGGCTTGGGCTGTGTGATGAGGCTGTGGAAATGGGGAATGGAACAGCCTGTTCCGGAGTACAGGAGAGGAAACGAGAGGGAACSAGGCTCACGCAGAAGCTGTAACCCCCCCCAAAACACCCTGCACGTTGCTGGAGGGCCGCCGCTGCCGTCGTCTTGGTTGCAAGCGCAGAGCAGGCGAGTGGCGCAGGGCGCATCCCGTATTGCCGTTCTGTCTGGGTGGAAACTAGGCCACGGATGCTCCCTGGGATCCACGTAGCCCTGCTAATTGCCTTGCTGCATCTGCAGGAAGAGCTGCTTCYAGGAGGTTTGGGATTTTCCATAATTAATGGTGAAAGGGTAAGGAGGGGTAGGTAACCTTTGGCAGCATCAGATTGTTCTGTGATTTTAGTCCATGTGTCTCTGTTCTCAAAACACAAAACATAGCCAGTGCATTTCCAAAAATTCAGTAGAAACTTGTATGTAAATACAAATTTGTGCTTGGTTTTTGTACTGTTAAGAGATGAGGATACTCAGTGCCTTGGTGCCTCTGATACCTGCATTCCAGGGTTCTGGATAAGGATGAAATATTATAAGGAAATTTAGACGCTCATGTGATGAGCTCTTTTGAAGAGGAAAACAAAAATGGGAAAAAAAAAAAGGCTAGCTATGCAAAACTAGTTCTGATGCATGTTCTTCCTTGGTTAGCCACGGCATTCTTTATTTGCTTCAAAACACCTGAATTATGCCTACCTGGAATGTTTTAATGCCTGGCTATACATTCATTCACATAGTCTGTAGTCTCACTGAGTGTCAGCAAAACAGGCATAGCTTTTCAAAAAATGGGCTTTTAAGCTGTACATAAATCTTTTAATTTTTTTTAAATAGTTCTGTAAAAAAAAATTATTTCAAAGGCTGTTAATTTTGAAAAAGAAATGCTAGCTGAAATATATGATTTTCAAATTCCGTTATACCGAAGCAGCCTGGAAGGGCAAGTGGACTGTATTAGCAATATATTTGAAGTATGTGCTGTCATTCTTTCTTATATTTGAAAATGTTTTATATTTCTTAATATTATGTTCATTTTAAGCAGCGCTGGTTTTAATGTCAAATACGGCAGTGATTTTAACCCTGTTAGAATTACTTTTTCTAAAGTAATTCCAACTCCGCGGTGGAGAAGGAGCTTGAAGTAATCGGTTCCCCGTCTTCTGGTCACCTCCTTGTGGAGCAAACACATCACTCACGTAGAAGCGTCCAGTGTCTCGTACCCTGCAGCTGCTTCAAGGGACTGTCCTGATGTTGTCAGTCATTCTGCCAAAAAAAAAAAAGTAATGGAGAGTAATATATGGTCCGTCCTCCTGCGGCCGGTGAGCTTGTTCTGGGGGGGTTAGATTAGTATATTAATTATCTGTTACTTGAACAATCCTGTCTCTGTATGAATTGTGGAAATGCATGAGTGAATGACTTACATAAATACGTCATCAATCACTTACCAAAGCGTGTGTGCTTAGTTCTTTAAGTCTTTTCTAAGTTTACTTTTTTCTGAATTTCCAAATTTTCTGAATTTTAGAATTTTTATTTCCCCTCAAATTCACGTGAAATACGAAATCTGGAACCAGAAGGAGCAAATTGCTCTTCAGCTTCCTGTATTCAGTTGTGCAGGTGTCCCCTCCAATGGAAACGTTAACATATGGGCTATATGTGGTAGAGCCACTGATCCTTTCTATCCATGTTGTTTTCCAGCTGTGTGCCAAATTGTGCTCCCATCCAAGTCAGTTCTAACAGCGCTCAAATTCCTAGTTGCTGCTCTGTGTGAATCAGCTCCCSGGTGGAGTTGGATCAGTGCTAATTTACTGTGGATAGAAGGGGTCACCACAGAGTAACTTTGGATAGAGGGCTATGACAAGGATTAAAGAGGAGGAGCGGGGGGGATTTTTTAAGTTGACATGTACAAAGGGAAGAGATGGGGATTGCATGGAGTTATTGGGGTAAAATGAAACCTGGAGTTACTCCTGAGCAGCTGCACTTGGCTCTGGAATTGTTCCTTTCCAGGTGGGGTACAGTCAGGGCTCTGCTCCGCTCAACCACCGCTGGCTCCCAGCTAAGGAGCTGGAATTAGTTGGAATTTCACCGGAGTCCGCAGGAAAACGGGCTCCTCTGTGACCGGGACCTTGTGAGGAGCCCGGTGACTGCAGCACTTCTGACCTGGCCTCTCCATAAAGATACAAAAGATCCTGGAAAGATCCTGGCCGCTTGAGGCCGGGCTAGGGAGGGGAGTWCCTGCCAGGCTGCAGCACTTGACCTGCTGAACTAAACAGCCGACTAAACTTGTGGCTTTTTAGTCACTGAAACCAGTTCCAGGGCTACTTGCTTTGGGTCATTTAAGCAGCTCACTTTAATCAAAATCCACTGAGGGCAGATGAGCAGCTCATCAGCACCCCACATGCCAGCACGGTGGCTCCTCCTGCCCCCTTGGTTGAATCTGTACTGCACGGCACGTCTGTTTTATCTTTTTTCCCCCATTTTTAGACAGCTTCAGAGCCACCGCCAAGTGAGTGTGGAGCCTTGTGGTGCCCCCGCTTGTTCCTGGCAGGCCGGGATGCTCCCAGCAGGCTGGGATGCTCCCGGCAGGGCCWTCCCACAGCTCCCTTGGCCATAGCCCCGGCCAGGAGCAGCAGGCGAGCTCGCCTCCTGCCCTATGGAAATCCGGAGGGAACGCTGTGTGTGTCCCTGCCCCTCTGTGCCCRGGTACGGTGTGAATGCGCAGGTGGCCTGTTCATAAATCCTTCATCTCCAGACCCTGAAAGCTCTCGCAACAAAACCGGCCTCGTTCCCGCAAGCCATTTTTATGCCATTTTAAGTTTTCTGAAAGGCTGCATTAAAATGGGCATTTCTAATGGTTGCGACGCGTGACAGCCACATCCCAGTGAGCTCCCGGGCGCTCGTCTGGAAGTGCGGGTTTGGTAAAGCCAGGCTCTGCAGGGTGGCGGATCGGCTGCAGCTTTGCTGGGAAGGCAAAGGGATCCCCCCCGCTGCCGGGACCCCCCCTCTGCCGGGATCGCCAGGTATCCGTGGGCACCCGGCACGGCCCGAGCCCAGGCGCTGCGCTCCTCTCTGCCAGGTAAGGGGGTTTCGGGAAGCTTCCTGGGGAAAAAATAAAAATAGAGGTTTAGTAGCCTGGACCTCTGTAATTCTGGTTCCTGGGGGAAGTCCCGTGTTCCCGGTGCAGAGCCGCTGGTAATCGCGCTGGGACGGGAGGC